TTGTTGCCTGCATTATGCATATCCTCCTGAGAACCAGAATTTTTTTGAAAATAATATATTTTATTTATATTTTATTCTGTGTCCTTTGTAGAGGACACCAGGACTAAGTTATTCAAAAAGATAAATAGACATTAAAAGGCATGTATAGGCAAAAACAAAGACGCCAATCAACCATTCACCAGTTTTTAGGTTTCAGGCTATTTTTAGCCAAACTTTGTACACAGATGATTCTCAACTATGTTATGAAAGAAATAACAGGATGATTTGATATACTACTGTACTTTATGGAATATGTGCATAACATTTCCATAAATTGGTTTTCCCATTCTATCTATACATTACATCTAATTTTCATATTGATGTGTTCTTGGGGCAAACCATAATGAAAAAGAAGTGTCATAATGGGAGTAATAACGTGGCAAGATTTTCACAAGACTTTCTCATATTTCATAGGAACATTGATCTATAATTTCTTTCCCTATTGACTTATGTCTCCCTCAAAATGCCTGATTAACATGATGTTGTCCTGGTGTCCTCTACAGAAGACTCATATGAAAATGATGCCCTGTTTCGTAACAAAAAGTCATTCCGATTTGAAAACCCATAACATTTTTCTGAGATGTTTATGACGAACAATTTTAAAATTCATCAGATTTAAATGATAATTACAAAACATCATATTTCCTTAAGCGTGCTAAATTTGATCATTCTGTCAATATCAGTCATATTTAAACACCAAGGAGAAGGTGTGATTATGATCAAACCTCCAAACAGGTGAAACTTCTCAATGTAACATGCCTATGGACAATAGGGAATCCATGGTCTCTTGGATTAGTTCATAGATGCATGTCATATCATATTTAAACTGTTAAACGAATAATATTAAATGACCGATTTTAAAATCTGTATCTGTGTTTTCTGTATCCTTCTGTGTCCCGTAGACTCTTTGGGAGGGAGGCTTGTACAAACTGAGAATGCTCTTTAAGGATGATTACCCATCTTCACCACCCAAGTGTGAGTATTCGCTTCTACAAGAAATGTTAAACCCTATATAGTGCTTATTATTGTCATTGTCACTACACTTCCACATATATTTCCTCTATAGTTATTCGCTAGTGCCTATAGACAACAAAATGCTGAGAAAAACTTGTTGTTAAGCTGATTTGAAACAATATGTTTTGTGAAAATAAACCTGACTTGTTCATTTTCTTCTCAGGCAAGTTTGAGCCCCCAATCTTCCATCCAAATGTCTATCCTTCAGGTACAGTGTGTCTGTCCATACTGGAGGAAGAGAAGGATTGGAGACCAGCCATCACCATCAAACAAGTATGCAAAAACACACAAACGAAGACATACAATAATGTTCACCAAGGCTGCATTTATTTGATCAAAAATAATGTAAAAACAGTAATATTGTCATATATTATTACAATTTAAAATAACTGTTTACGATTTGGATATATATATTAAAATGTAAATTATTTCTGTGATGGCAAAGCTGAATTTTCAGCATCATAACTCCA